TATTCTGAGCTAAAGTACTAATGAGACCTTCTAAATTCATTTTGGCACAACTTTGTTATCGATCTCGACAGATGAAAATATGACGGGATTACAACACATACGACAAGTAATGGCAACTGCTTTATGTTTGGTTCAAGTTGAGTTGGAGAATTTCAGATTCGAATGAACAATAAAACCTTTCTCTTAAGGGACAGCAAATACCATGTAAGAAAAATGATAGAAAAGGAAAGAAATAAAATAAAACAATCAAATCTATAATAGTACAAACAAAAACAATGTTAAGTCTCATAAACACCAGAATAACACAGGAACAATCTCATTTACACCATTGCAAGTTATTTTTTCTTTTCTTGGCGTATGTTACCAGTCAAGATTCAAGACAGATATATACGATGAAAAATCAATTTTCTCATCAAATGTTTACCACATCTGCCCTTTAGACAGAAACACCCACGCCAAATTTTATACGGAAAATATTATCCATTTAGACCGGAAAACCATTTCGTTTCGCAGATACCGTCTTGTTAGCCAACTTCTTATGATGAAAATAACGCAAGATTCCCTCGGGAATAACATTTCATATTAATTAGATGACAACAATATTTTAAAACTAACACCGGATCGATAATGATTTAAACTTAAGCTTAAAGAGATGAAACATTAAGCTGAAAGAAAATTAATTTTAGTTTTACATCATTAAAATATAACTTTACCTATAGCTATTAAAGAACGAAATTAAATTTAATGTTTCCCTTATTTAAATTAAAAAGGCTTCGTTAAACAAAAAACAAAATCAGAAATACATGGGTGTGTTGGTATCTTTTCTCTGTTGTTGACCTTGACTAACTGTACAAATGCCGTACCAAATCAATCGAAAAATCAAATCTGAAATGTGGATTATCACGAAAAAAAATTATGCATTTGTATGTGAATAAGGTGTTTTAGATTTTCGATCTTCAGGGGAAAAGATCTTTTATATACTATTATAAAAGTTTTGCAATAGTTGTATATTTTGTGAATTTTGAATCATTGAAGCATTATCATATTAATAATAATAAAGATAGTAATATTTGAAAAAAGTGCAATGCCTTTAGAAAGTTTGTGATAATCCAACTTTGTTTTATAAAACTTTAAACGTAAGCTCAATGAAGAAAGGTTCTTTTCATGGTACCGTAAACTCAATGAAGAAAGGTTCTTCTTATAATACCGTAAACTCAATGAAGAAAGTTTTTTTTCTTTTAATACGTAAACTAAATGAAGAAATGTTCTTCTCGTGATACCGTAAACTCAGTGAAGAAAGGTTCTTCTTATGACACCGTAAACTCAATGAAGAAAGATTCTTCTCATGATACCGTAAACTCAACGAAAAAAGGTTCTTCTTATGATACCGTAAACTCTAAGAATGGGTCTTCTCGTGATAACGTAAACTCAGAAGGTTCTTCTCATGTTACCGTAAACTCTAAGAATGGGTCTTCTCGTCATAACGTAAACTCAGAAGGTTCTTCTCATGTTACCGTAAACTCAATGAAGTAAGGTTCTTCTCATCATACCGTAAATTCAAAGAAGAAAGGTTCTTCTCATGATACCGTAAACTCAATGAAGAAATGTTCTTCTCATGATATTGTAAACTCTAAGAAGAAAGGTTCTTCTCATGATATCGTAAACTCAGACGGTTCTTTTCATGATGCCGTAAACTCAACTCAAAGAAGAAAGGTTCTTCTCATGAAGAAAGTTTTTTTCATGATACGATAAACTTAATGAAGAAACTTCAGGTTCTTTTCGTGATAGCCGTTAACTTAAGGAAGAAAGGTTTTTCTCATGATACCGCTAACCCAATAAAGAAAGGATATATCATGATACGATTTTAGTAAGGTTGACCTTTGACATCATTTTTGTTTAATTTTTGAAGTAATTTGCAGCGATTGATACATTGAAAGCAGATGGGTTAAAAGTTTTGAAATAGGCATAATTTCTTAAAAGTAATTGATTTCATTTAACAACCTCATTTAAATACAGAGATACACCGGTTGAAGTATGATGACTAGAATAACTTCGTTAGCTGATTTTATACAACTTATATAAATATAACTCTGTTACAATAGAAGAGTCAAAAGGGTCATAATGTAACTATCCTATATGTTTTATTTTCAGTACTTATGTTCCACGTCTTTATATAAAACTATTTTTACTTGACCCTTCCGGAGTTTACCCCCAGTTTTGGTGGGATTAATATTATAGAGGCCGATTCAAACTGCAAGTAAATTAACGATCATGTCATGTCAGATATAATTATGTATAATATTTAAATTAAAAAACTTATCGAACACTTTAAAATATTTTTTTATTACTTCCATTTTAAAGCTTTACACAATTAAATCACACATTCAATCTCTCAAAATAATGAATAAATGCACCGCTTCAAACTTACGAAGATATCAATAAAAACATAAAGTAAAGGAACGACTAATAACCCCATGGCTGAAAACCCGAAAAAAAACAAATAAATAACAGTCGACAAAACACTAAAGAGAAAACCGGTTAAACACAATTTACAAAGTTTTAGAACAAAACAAAGTCCTATCCTCATAGGCTGATCACAAAATATAAATGGTTGTAAAGATAACAAGTTACAGTTAAAATTGTTCGTCGTCCATAATCAACTGCCTCTGTGTTCTCGTGGTAGAAGCCTTGAGTGCGGGAGGTAGTGGCTTCGATCCACGGCTTGGTCAAACAAAAAGTTATTGCTGATTATAAATCTATGACGCACGCGGCACTAGGAGTAAAACCAGGATGGGTCGGAGTCAGCATATCAATGAGTCCATGTCTTCCTGTAGACAATTAGTATGACCTTAGGATCATGATAAAAATCTTACTCAACGTGACGGTCTAGCTCAAAGCAGTGTTTATCAATTTATCAGGTTTTCTATGAACTCCACTTGGCCTTAGCTTAATGAGCCCTAATCACTGCGAGTATTCTTAGATCGGTTCTTTGTGTTTTTTTGTTTTTATGTCAGTTGTTTTGAGTGCTTTGTTTCGATCATAGAATGCAAACCATTTCCAAATGATTTCCCCAGTCAGTTCTTATGTTGTACTGTTACACCATTGTTACGGGTTAAAGGAGGATTTAGGGCTTATAAACATGTTTACCCAACCACATTCTTTATGTGCCTGTCCAAAGTCAGAAGCCTGCTATTCAGTGGTTTTCGTTGGTTCCTGCCTGTTAAATTCAGTTTTCGTTTATTGGTAAATCAGGCCGTTGTTTTTTTCGTTTGAATTATGGCATGGTTCTGCTTATTGATGAAGGCTGTTGTGTCACCTATAATTGTGTAAATCCACGTTGTTTGGACTTATTTTGACAATCATACCACAAAACTCTCTATTTTTTAATAATATTGTTTATAGCTGCAATCGTCTTGATGACCAACACAACAAGGAGTGCTATAAATCGTCTCATCTTTCTTGATCCATAACTAATTTCCGTAACTGTTAGTAAAATGGACATGTTCAATCTGTTAATCTGTATAATTTGTATAAAAGCACACATGTGTGTAGGGCATTTCTCGTTCCCTTAAGCTATTGTAATTTGTCATAATTTGATTGCTATCGATAATTTAATTCTCAAGGTAGAATATATTTCCATATTAAGGCAAAATAGCTCACAAAATCGTGTCAAGATAAAAGTGCTTATTATATCATTACAATATCTAGGTTCTGGAACATTTTGTTTATATAGTCAGTATATTATCAGAGAAATTGCTAAAACTATATTAACACATTTAGAAACTTAATTTCCCAAGGCAAATATGTTCTTTGCCAATTCAACAACAACCAAAAACCAAAACAAAACAAACAAAAAAACCGAAACAAAACCAAACAAAACCAACAAGGAAATAAATTGAATAGGAAAATGAAATAGGAAACAAAATAAAACAAACACCCAGCAAGTAAGAATACAGAGTTAAAGGATGCCTTCCACCTTTCTGGTCAGCTGGTTCAAGATATAATATGTAGCAGAGCCGAAATTTTGACCCGAATAGTGGTAGAAGAGAACGCAATAATAATCCGCCTATGTGGTCATTTGAATTTAAAGTATTATTAATACAAATATTTATCATTAAGTAAAAATCACAATTATCATAATTTTCAGACAATGGGAAAAGGAGTATCCGTCGAGATTTAACAAAATATATGGACTGGTGATTATAATAAACTCATCATTGATACCGGAATGTTGTAGGTCACACTCAAATCAAACAAGATAAAAGGGCTAAATAAAGTACGAAATTGAAGACAATTGAGGACCGAAATTCAAAAAGGTTTAGCCAATTACAGCTAATGTTATCTATTCCTGGTGTAAAATAACTAACTATTTCGAAAAATTCAAAGTTTTCAAACATAGTTTCATCAAAAGTTAATTTCAAAATTATCAAAATAAGGAGAGGTTCATAAACATTTCGTTATTTTTATTTCATGTTTATCGCCTCGATAAAGCCTGTTTGCGCTGCAAGGACACCAGCATTCATTCAATCAATAAATCTATCAAAATTGTATCTATCACTCCAGCTAACGTGTAGCATTGTGAAATATAATTTATGTAGCTTGCTCATTTTAAATTTGAACATTAATCATATAACCTTGACAAGCTTTACTATGCAGTTTTTTCTTGTCTCGAAGACAAATATGACATTAATTATTTCTTCTACTTTTAAATTCATAATCGATAAGGAAAAATGTACAATCATTCTTTTTATATTTCTTTACGTCAAATGTAAGACGGCTAGGATGGAAATCGTCACTTTAGCATTACATGTAAGTTTTAATATGTTATGAAATTGAAAAGCATTTTAGCAAAATAAAATGTTTATGTCCTATCTAGCACATACAAAATCCTAATCAGGAAACATTTTAATGTGATCAACATTGTGTTTATAAAATCATAGGAAATAATTCCCGTTTGGGTATGTAAATAGAATCGTTCGAAAAAGGTACTATATACTCACAGAATTCTAAGGTCTTTGCTTTTCTTCAAGGCATCTGGTGCAATAAATTCAAGGCCAGAATTGGTTATAGACCTTGAAATAAATTAATGTAGTAGTTAATACAATGTGTTTCTTTAATAAATTGTCATACAAGTACATAACTTCGCTATTTATATGCATTACATTTGTAAGAATTGTTTAATATTAGAATAAGAAGATGTTGTATGAAAATTCATGTCCTATGGTATAAATATAGAGACAAAACCGACATTTATTTCCTATACATTACAGTATCTGAGTAAGGGGAGCCTAAAGATAACAATACACAATTCGATGCTGGGATGTTTGCTTATGAAATCCATACTAACAATTTTTTCATAAATGACGTTTTTTTTTCTCTCGAATAGATAGTATGGGTTTCGTACCGAGTGAAAATTGGAAATCGCTTGATATTAACTCGATTTATTTTAAATTTCAATATAATAATAAACGAGTCTTTGGCGAGTTTATTGGTACTATTTAAATTAAATAATTTAAACAAATCAAGCGATATCCAATTCCCACCAGTTTTTAAACACATTTCATTTATGGTAAAGAATATCAGTGTCCTTGTGAAACAGTTTAGTTTTCACAAGCTTCACTTTAGATATAAGCCCGCTTACGGTATAGAGAATAGTATGTCAGAATAGAACCAACTTTGACAAAAGAATGTTTTGGGGGTGAGACATGTGAGTAGTTTGTATGCTATTGAAGAAATCACAAATCTCAGTTTGTAAGGAGGATATTAAGTACGTTGTGACTATTGAAAGTCCTAATTGACCTAACGAATAGCTAATGGAAATGACAGTTTGATAACACATTGTAGGATAGGCCAAACAAATTAATAAATTTTTATATCACTTAATCATATCGCATTTGTTATTGTGTTACTAGAAACATCTCTTCATGCGGGAAATAAATTACAGAGCACAATAGTTTTTATTTTACTCCTTGATACTCGGAGTATGTGCTTTACTTCTAGGTATAGAGTTGAATAAAAAATGGAGACATTTCCTGGAGATGAACCAAAAAAAAAAAAAAATAGGACAAGCATGATCAAGAGATCAACGTACTCACGTGGTAGCGATACCCCAGCTTGTGAAATGCTCAGACAATGACAAAATTCACTTCTCTGATTATATATTTCAGGTTTAAAATACTTTTGATAAATCAGGTAAATTACAGAAAAAAAAATGAAAACAACACGTTATTAATTTTATGCGTTCGAAGCGCTTTCCTGTATTTACCTTCATCAGGAACGCTCAAAGCCGAATATTTGAAAGCCAAGAATGTATAAGAACCAAAACAGTTGAAAAGCTATGACCAAAAAAAACCTAAAAAAATAGCCAAATCCATCCATTGTAAAATTTGCCAGAGGAAGTTGAAACCTAAGTTTCTTACTGGTAATTCGTCCAAACGTAAATACCATTTGTTGTTGCAAACGTAATCCATTTGAACCTGTCAAAATTAAAATTCGCGCAAATGTAGGCCGTCCTCAAATACAAACCCCAACTACCTTAAGTCGTGTATCTGTTTCCACAAGCACATTTTATTAGTTCATTGTATAAATCTGAAGATAGTTTTCATATTTATCTTTTGAACACAATTATATATGTATTTTTAGAATTCAAAAGTATGAATTATAACATTCATTCATTATTCCTACAATCGTAGCCCATTCATACGACGGTATTTCAAAAGAATGCTTGTAAGAATGTTTAAGTGAATAAGTGGTTGAACAGCAAGTCAAGTACTTACAATGTTTCTAAGTGTTTGTAGTGTTGCAATGATCGACTTGTCAGCGATGTTAAATTAGCCTGATCCTCAATATATCTGAAAAGAAATTGAAACAAACAATTAAAGAAAGTCGCTTATGATGCCGACCTTGTAACAGATTTCTCTTGCAGACTTTTAGCTAAAAGCTTGTATTGTTCGATTAAAAAAAATTAACTGGAAAAAATGATACAGGGAAACAGTTTCATAAAGAACTAACTTAAAGTGCAAGACAGTAGGATGTCACTAACCCACTGAACAAGAAGCATTTCGAGTAAAAAATAGACTTGTGGCGATATATCAAGGTCTTAAATCTATTATCATAAAGAAATTGAAATACGCTATTTTTTATGACATTTGTATGAGCCTTATTCAAAACATTTATTTCCCAAAGCATGAACTTTACTTAAGGAATTATATTTCGAAACGAGTTATCTAATTTGCTACAATGCAAATTAGAGCAATATTATAAATTTTTAAAGTACATTTAAAATTTAATTTGTACACACGCAGAAACACACAGATCACTACAAAATGATATTTTTTTTGAAGGAGCGTTGTAAGATAGAAGATCGAAATTAAACAACCACATCCTCAAATAAGATTTGCAGTAAACGTGAATACCTTCTTTTCACAATGATCTCCATTGAAGTTAACAGTGTTTTACAAAAGAAATGAGAATAACCCGAATAAAATCAGACTTTAATAAACCCCACTATTTTCCAAGAAAGGAAATATTTAGGTAAATACATAGCATTCAATTCAGTTTTTTTACAGACTAGTCAATTATCTTTCGGTTTTGATGCATCACAAGGTCTGGCTAAGGTTTACCGTTGATCTTGGTTACAACATATTCTTACACGTGTAACAGTCTTAAGCTTTCTATTGGCATGGAATAGGTAAATACTATAACTTTGATGAAGCAAACAAGAACACACATATAAAAAGTATGTATCCTAACAAAATACTATATAAGTAACGCATAGCTGAGAGGGTGATAGGGCAGATTGTTACCCTGAGAAAACATTGTTAACCGCGGCGAAGCCAAGGTTGACAATGTCTTTTGGAGGGGTAACAATCTGCTGTATCACCCTTTCAGCTATGTGTTATTTTTTATTATACTGAATGTTCTGTTTTTACTGTCTGTTAAATTTCAAATCCAAAGTAATAAACTATGATGTCTTGTACATAACAATCATCCCTATTTAGTAAAGCGTCTCCGTGAAGGGTAATAGAGTCTTTGCCATGGGATAGAGTAAACTGTCTCCCTCGTATTAACTAATCAGAATCCCGCATTTTGACATGAAGTATAATAAAGCGTATTGTCTTTGAGTTAATACATAATCACTGATGAGCTTCGTTGCACGGATGTTTTTTAATATATCGTTTCACTGTTGAGAAAATAAAATGGGCAAAATAATAAGCAAGACCATGATATCATTTAGTCAATAAAAATACTTTTAGGCATGTGTACCTGAAAATAACTTTAAAAAAAAACCAGCAGAAATTTTTTCCCTGCGTCCATATAAAGTTATCCATAGATATTTGTGTGAAATGAAGGAACAACTGTTACACTTCACTTCCTAAATGTATATAAGCGATCAGGGCATATACAGCGTCATACGAATAGAGCAGGCATTAAAACTTAAATGAGATTAAAAAAACAAAAAAATTAAAAAATCTTGTTTAATTAAACACTGATTACTGATCATTTTTTTTTATCAAATATATATATTTTTTTTATTTATCAAAAACGTAAAATTGATGTTTTCATATTTCAAATGAAATATGATCGTTCTTTACTTACTTATATATGTATATATTGCTTTATTAATCTGCTCATTAGATTTCTGATGAGAGTATCTGATTCAGATTCTTTCGAGACTCTAGTTTCATTGCTTTTTATGATCCGAATATTTTCTAAAAATATACTTATCCGTCTATATCCGGTGTAAAATATACGTTTTATGTTTTATTCCCACATTTATGACATTGAACCAATTAAATTTTTAGATAAATAATATAACCTAATTTACAAAAAAAAAACCAAAAAACACCAAACAGTTTCGATTCTTAAAAAAATATCTGTTATCTAAGAGTAAAGAATTTCTTGACAAGATCAATGCTGAAATTACAACAAACAGCCGTTATGTCTGAAGGCATATTAAACAGTTACAATAGTAATATAATTATAAGAAAATATTGCCCAGCAGCAATCGATATTTCATCTTATAATGGGATAGACACAGTGTCCGGTTGATAAAAACCTATTATAACACCATAATAATGTCGATATCAGAAGCTGATCGACATTTAATATTCACTTTATGGGCAATTTTCCCTACAAAAACGAAATAATTTGTCAAAAATTAAGATTAATTTCTGCAGTGAAATGATATGTATCAAATAAGCAGCATTTCTAACGGAATTCTGAAATGGATAACTAAATTGACAGAAGAATTACACCCTCCCTTATATAAGAAAATCAAATAAAACTCATTTGCCCTTTTCACTGACATATATATTAACAATTTAAAGTAGATGGGGGGTCTAAATTAAATTTTTTTTAATAATTTGCCAAAATATAGTTTATATCATGCTTTTTTCAAAATATAATACAACGTATGGGTCACGGGGATTCTTTTCCAGCTACAGGTTCGCAAAATTGTCAGATTTTGTATAGATTATGCACGAAAACTCCTAATTTGTGTGGTAAAAGAAAACTAAAATAAAACCCTAGAATCTAAACATAAAGTTTGAGAAGATAATGTGCTTTCAGAAAATAGAAAATCACAATTGGGGTCACCGAAATTGTTTTGTTGCTACAAAACAAATAAACAGCTGCACCATGGGCGCATAATACGCCCGTTGCGTTTTCAAAGAATAAAGTTCAATAACTTCTCAATGTCATCAGAAATTTATGAAAAGCAAAAGGGAGCTTACGTCAATAGATATCAACAATTCACCAAAGTTTCATGAAAACTGTTGAAAGCATTTTTGAGTTATTGTCCGAAAACTGAAAAATCCCCCTTTTTTTAAATGAATAAAACCCCATAACTCGGAAAGTTTAACGTAAAATCTAAAATTTATAAAAATCGAAAGGGATCTCAAGTCACTAGATATAAACACTTCACCAATGTTTCTTGCAAATTGGTGAAAGTGTTTTTGAGTTATTGTCCGAAAACTGGAAAATCCCCCTTTTTTAATGAATAAAACCATAACTCGGAAAAGTAAAATCTAAAATTTCTAAAAAACGAAAGGGAGCTCACGTAAACGTAAATATTATAAAGCACATCGTTTTCTTCATCTAATTGTAAAGTTTTACAAATGAATTACATTCTTCTTTTGAAAATTGCACATTTCATTAAAGAACTAGACCGACTGATTCCTACTATTTTACATTCCGAGATGGCAGAAGACACCGATTTAAAGTACAAGTATATAATATCTCAAAAACGATTAATTATAGTTACATTGTAGGACACTATACCCCGCGAACTATAACATTCCCAGTGATACGCGAAATTTTGGTCAAATCTATATTATAACAAGTTTAAATCATAATGAAGAAGTGCTAAGATTCAAGATGATGTGACCACTAAGTACTTCATGGGTACATGTAACTACCTGAAACCACATTTAATTAACCTGATACGGTTCGGACGCATAGATTGGAAAGTAAAATGCCCCGGGCATGATCACCGAATACATTATATAATCAAAGAGAGGCGGAAGATACCAAAGGGATAGTTAAACTCATAAGTCGAAAACAAACTGACAAAGCCATGGCAAAAAACGAAAAACGACCAAAAGACAAAAACAGTCTACAAAACACAAAATAGAATTCTAATGACTGAGCATCACGTACCCCACCAAAAACCCGGGTTTATCTCAGGTGATCCGGAAGGGTACGCTGGTCCTGCTCCAAATATTGCACCGTCGTGTTGCTCATGTACATGATGTAGGTAGAAACCCGGTGGTAAGTCTTATTCAGTAGGTAACATTCGAGGAAAAGAGGACGGGATAGACATCAAGTTTTATTAGATACATTTGGAAAAGAGAGCATACTTAAAATAATAAGTATGTTTCCAGACGACACACAAGTCTTATTTATAAATGTCCTGGTTCTTCGAAGTCAGTATAGTTATTGGTTGAAACATCTACACCCTTGAGACTTTGTCATGCAACTATATGTTCAACGATTGCAACATTATTGGAAGAAACACAATAAACTTTAGCACATCATTATATTAGGTTTAACAATTTAACGACTGAAAACAATTCCAAACAAAATTCTAAACAATTCTAAAGAATCGTTCTTTGTAGTCTTCAAAATGCATATGGAATTATGATGACACAGAAAATAATATTTTCGTGTATACAATCGTTAATCAATGCTTCATTTGTTGATAATCATTTGAATAAAATTGAGAATGGAAATGGGGAATGTGTCAAAGAGACAACAACCCGACCACAGAACAGACAACAGCAGAAGGCCACCAACAGGTCTTCAATGCAGCGAGAAATTCCCGCACCCGGAGGCGTCCTTCAGCTGGCCCCTAAACAAATATATATACTAGTTCAGTGATAATGAACGCCATACTAAACTCCAAATTGTACACAAGAAACTAAAATTAAAAATAATACAAGACTAACAAAGGCTAGAAACATATTAAGAAATTTGTGACATTTTCAATGCATAAAATAATAATTTGGTAAATAATACATCTTGATACTTATTATTTGTGGGTTTAATATCCTGACGCAATATAATGTAGTACCTTTTTTGTACTCTTGCTGACGCTGCTGTTTGAAATCTATGCAAAAGAACAGGATCGACGTTTGAGTGAAAGCAAAACATGGTTTCATTGACAGAAGTTGTTAACATCCTCGTCCTATTGTCTCTGGTTGATAGTTGTGTCATTGGCAATCATACGACATCTCCTTATTATTATATTACCAAGTACAGTTTTTCATGAACTGTATTTTTGTCGTTTATTGTAAGAATTTATCGACCGAGTCAAGCAAAGGACTTGAAAACAAGTATAAGCCAAGACATTTAAAAGTAAGAACAAAGACTTATTTACTCCGAGTTATAATGAGTCGTGTCGTAGTGACTAGAAATCCGCATCAATAAGCTCAATAACCCATAACCCTATATTTGCTTGATTTCTGTCAGAATAAAATGAAAAAAATGCATCTTCGTACATTTATTCATTAATTTTACAGTTGGTATTGCATAAGACCGAGTTTTTTTCTGTACAATTCATGCCGTTGATATATGCAATCTACTTGGAAGTAATAATAATAGAATGAAAAAAGGCAAGCTTTCGGTATACGTACCAACAATAAAATAAGACGATACATGATAGCTTTAGTTATAACATAATGTTGGTTTTTGTTAACGATGTCGTTCTTATTTATTTTTAATATGAATACTCAAAATTTGCCAAAGTTTGTCAACATTGAGGTTTTTGTGCTATCTTCTGGAATTGATATTTTTTTTCATCTATTTAAAAATGAGTCATTGTTTTATTAAAATTACATACATTGGGATGTAAAAAAGACTTTAAAAGGCTTTTAAAAAATGGACCTTGTATGAAACAAATTCAGTGGAAACAGCCTTTTACAAAATTAACAAAATGGC